GAGGAGTAAGAAGAAGAAGAGGGGGAGGAGGAAGAAAAGGAGGAGAAGGAGGAGGAGAGGAGTAAGAAGAAGGAGAGGAGGAGGAGATGGAGGAGGAGGAGGAGGAGGAAGCATTTTGGGGGAGATGGCTGCTCTTCTTCCTGACGACTATTGTTCTAGGGGAGGAGGGTTGGAGGGCGAGGAAGAAGGGAAAGGAAAAGGAGGAGGAGAAGGGCAGGAAGACTTTCGCTTTTGAAGCGGGGCAAAGTGAAGGCAGGGACCTTTTTCTGCTTCTGCCCAAAATCTAGAGGGTGAACGAGGAGCGGATTTGGGAGTATCCATATCTATCTGAAACCTTGTCAGGGTCGAGGGCAATGGTGGTTTACGAGCCCTATATAACACGACTGCATTTTGAAGAGGTTGTTTTGTAAAGGGGCAGGCAAGCCAGTAGTCCGAAATGTAGTTCTGTCCCTCCCTCCCTCCCTCCCTCCCTCCCTCCCTCCCTCCCCCTTCTTCTTGAGTCAGGCTAGAAAACCAGAGACACGGAGGAGCAGGGAGGCAGCTCCGCTTGCTATTCTTCGATTTTTTTTTAATTTGACATTTGAACTTGTCTATTGTCTGAGCGCCTCGGTGCAGATTGCAGTAGGTCAAGCCAAAGGCTGCTCTTTTTGGATTTTCACACCAACAGCGCCCAGGCCAACGCCGACGCCTCGAGCAAAGGCGGTCGCGCTGCTCTTGCAGGGATATTGGGGGTGGGTGGGATGAGGGTCCTCCTTTTTTCAACCCCTGGAATTACCCGATAACACGGGGATATTCTGAATGCTGCCCTTTGCCTTGCTCTTCTCCCTCTCTCCTTGCCTCGGCGGGGCTGGTGGCGCTCCCCTTTCTTCGCCCGCCCCACATCCTCCCTCCCGCTCTTTGTATCTTCCCCGAGAAAGGCGAGAGAGAGAGAGAGAGAGAGAGAGAGAGAGAGAGAGAGAGAGAGAGAGACATGGATATGATAAACCTCCACGAAGCTTACTCGCTCAACGAGAGGAGGACTTGGGGAAAAAGGCAGAGGGAGAGGATATAGTAGTGACTGGATGCCTTTCCCACTATGTAGTGATAGAGAGAGATGTATGTATACCCCAGTGAATGTATTGACCATCAATAAAAGCGACCTTAAGGTGTGAGCACAAAATCACAACAAGAAACCGGCGATTAGCAGGAGGTTTGATGATTTTCTAATGTATGTAAGAGTGGCAACATCCAACCCCCTAAGGCTTGCATCGTGGCTCCTATTTAATGATATATTTATATATTATTCCTAACCATTCATCAGTCCAGATGCCAGTGTAAAGGTGAGCAGGAATGTGAGTGGGGCTTTTGAGAGCAGAGGTTGAGGCCTACTAGGCCTCTTCCCTCTCCAGCCCTCTTCGCTTCCCTCCGAACTGCTCTCTTCTGCTTCTTCCCTTCGGGCCACGTCTCCATCTTTCTTTCAGGCCCGCCATTTTTGATCCCATTAGGCGAGTGTTGTCTTTGGTGTGGAAGACTAGAGAGAGAGAGAGAGAGAGAGAGAGAGAGAGAGAGAGAGAGGGAAGACTGCAAGGGGCGAGGAAAATGTATTGTCGAAGGCTTCCAAGGCCGGAATCGCTGGGTTGCTGAGAGTTTTCCAGGCTGTATGGTCAGGAGTTTTCCAGGCTGTATGGTCTGGAACATGGCCATACAGCCCGGAAAACTCTCAGCAACCCGAGCGAGGAAAACCCAGGGCGCATCAGACCAAGTCTTTCCCAGGGAATCATTCCTGGCGGCAGGAAGGAAGGCAACAAACAATACCAGCTTGCCTTGCTAGGCCACCTTTGGGGCCCATTAATTCCAAGTTGGGGGATTTTACCGATTGGATAGGCCGGCCTCCACGGATGGCAACTTTGAGACTTCCCTGCTCTTGGATTGTGTGCCTCTGAGGTTGAGCCTGTAAAACCTTATATTCGTGTCAGGATATATTCGTGTCAGGAGCGACTTGAGAAACTGCAAGTTTTTTATGTTTTACCATCCTTGTGGGAGGCTTCTCTCATGTCCCCGCACGGGGAGCTGGAGCTGACAGAGGGAGCTCATCCGCGCTCTCCCAGGATTCGAACCTCCGACCTGTTGTCTTCAGTCCTACCGGCACAAGGGTTTAACCCATTGTGCTACCGAGGGCTTCTTTAAAAATAGATGTGTGCGAGAAAAAGAAGAACGAATTGGCTGCTCCTCTTAACATGTTTTGTCCTCACTTTCCACTCCCTGAGTGTACTCTCCCAGCTGGAGTGGAAGGCATCGACATCGACTTTTCTTCATGCAAGATGGCCATGGCTCGTGGTCCTTTTCTGGGCTAGGAAGGAGGGCTGTGATCCTTCCGTGGGGCTTGTCTGGAGGGGGAGGGACCCACTGGGGAATGGGCCGGAGACAGGCCGGGCGCAAGGCAGGGGGAGGCACTTTGGGGGTCACAGTTCTTGGGGTCGCCGCCTGGCTGCGCTGATGGCCACTTGCCTGAGTCGCCAGAAGGGCCAGGCGGGCTTGCTCCAGACCCCTGCCCCGAGCTTTGAGCCTTTCCCTGCCTCTCTTCCCCGTTTCCCGAAGGCGGGGAGGGCAGATTGCAAGAGTTGCGGCTCTGCTTGGTGCCCCCTCCCTCCCTCTTCCCCTTCCCCTTCCCCTTTGGTCGGGTTTGTTTGTCAAACAGGAGGCTCCTCCTGGGAGAGAGGCATTTGTGGCGGATCCCAGCCCAGGATTACGTTAATCAAGGCCTTATTTCCCTAGGGAGGCGGGCCACAAATGAGAGTAAATCCTAATAAAATTGGATCGCCAGCCAACGGGGCCTCCCAGTCGCCTGCTCCTCCTGCGCTTTCCTTTCTTTGTGTTTTGTTTTGTTTGGAAGGACCGGCCCAAAAGGTTGGTTCCTCGTGATTTGTGGAGAGAGGCTGTCCTCGCATTCTCCTCTTGTTCTTTTTGAGCCTCCAGTTGGAAGGCAGCTCCACTTCTTCACATGGAGAGCCATCAGCTCTGCCGCCTTTCTCTCGGCTTCCAGTCGAGCCCTTTCCCCTCTCCAGGAGTGCATCTCTACACCGGGGAATGAATGGATGCAGCCTCCGCCTGGCAGCCCTTTGCTTGCCTCGTCTCCGCGCTATGGGATCCTGGATGCTGTAGTTTGGCCAGGCACCAGCAACGGGGGCTGGAGACCTTTCCAAAATGCAACGCCGGTGGTTCCAAAGCGTCAGGCCTTGGCAGGTGTCGAGGGCTCAGGCGGCGTTTATCCCATGGCTAAGGAGAGCAAGGGCCGCAGAAGCCAGCCAAGGCCAAGGCGCTCCTTGGCCTCAGAGTTCAGAGCAGCAGTGGAGGCGGGGAAGAGGGACTCCGCCTGGGCTTCCCTTGATAAGAGAGGGGAGCGCCTCGTCTTCCTATGGGGGGGGGGGGGGCTTGATTTCTGTGGCCGGAGGAGGGAGAGGAGTCGGAGGCTGACTCCGGGGCGTGTGTATATTGATGTGTGGGGCATCATCTTAGTGCTCCAACCCCAGAGAAAAGGGGAGGGAGGGAAGGAAGGAATCGGCAACCCCAGAGAAGGAAGGGAGGAGGGAAGGAAGGAAGGGACCTCGGGGACCTGGTACTGCCCAGACCTCCTCCTCCTCCTCCTCCTCCTCCTCCTCCTCTTCCTCGGAGGGGCGGCAGATGCGGCTCTAATTGCTTTCCTAGACCCTTCCTGGAGGCTTTGGGGTTGAGGCGGAGAAAGAGGGAAGGAAGGAAGGAGGGGAAGGAAAAGGAGGAGGAGGAGTGGCAGGCTGGCTAGTCCCGTCCACTCCACACCACCTCAGCGGAGGGAGGGGAAAGTCGTCCATACACACACACACACACACACACACACACACACACACACACACACACAAAGCCAGGTAGCCTCTCCCAATCCCGCGCCAGCCCTCCCTCCTCCTTCCTCCGCCATTCCGACGTGTGGCGTGTTTCCCCGGCATCCCTTCCCTCCCACGCAACCCATTGGCCAAGCTGAGTCTCCCACTTGGGCTGGTTGACTTTCCAGAGTTCAGGTCTCTCCCACCTTCCTTCCTTCTTTGCCATACCCCCCCCCTCATAACACTCCTGCCCCCTCCTCTTTCCTGCCTCCCTCCCTCCCTGGCCTTCTCTCCATCTACCCATCCATCCCTTCCAGCCCTCTCCCCTTCGCTCCCCACCTGCCCCTCTGGCGAGCCTAATTCCCTCCCGACGAGGCAAAAACACGGCCGCGGGTGGGGAGAGGAAGAGTCTTTGAATGTTCAAAGAGAGGGCAGCGCGGGTGTATGTGTGTGTATGTGAGTGTGTTGGGGAGGGGAGGAAGGCTCTGCGAAGAGTGAGTGAGTGAGTGCCTGGAGGAAGCTCCCTCGCCCACGCCGCCCTCCCGCCTTCCCTCCGCTCAGTCGCCGAAGGACAGCAGTCCTGCTTGCCTGGCTGGCTGGCTGGAGGCTTCCTTCCTTGCCTCCCGATATACTCAGCCGGGAGAGCCTGCCGATGCCGTTTACGAGCTCATCTAGAAGGGGAGCCCTGAGCAGAGTGTCGCCCAGCCATGGCCCCGGAGAAAGGGACTCTCCGTCCCCTTCTTTGGTCTCTTTCTCTTCCTCAGAGGATGGGGGGTGAGAGGGAGGGAGGGAGGGAGGGAGAGAGGGGGTGGGTGGGTGAGTGGATGCATGAGATGATGGCGATTGAGTCTCTCCTCGGCAAGACCAAAAAAATGTGGGGCTCACACTGGAGGGTAGAATTCCCTTCCTTCCTTCCTTCCTTCCTTCCTTCCTTCCTTCCTTCCTTCCTTCCTTCCTTCCTTTCCTTCTTTCTTTCTCCTTCCTTCCTTCCTTCCTTCCTTCCTTCCTCCCTTCCTTCCCTCCCTCCCTCCCTCCCTCCCCCCCCTCTCCCAGCCCCCTTGCCCCCCTCTTTTCCACCCCCGCCCCTCAACCCCACTCCTTGCTCCCCAGCTGCGTGGATCAAAAATATCAAAGGAGACTTCTTCACTTGTCTCCCCTTGACAGGGCTGATCCCTTCACCCGCGAACACTGAGGAGGCTGGAAAACTCTTCCCTGCCTAGGCGAGCAGTAAGTTTTTCTTCTATCTAAAGCACCCCCTTCCTCTCAGTTCATTCTACCTTGACGTGTTTGTTTTGATGCTGAGGTATGGCAACATATATATGCATATATGTATATATAGCCAATATATATATGCATATATAGTCAATATATATGTATCTATGTATACAAACACACACACACATATATCTATATCGAAAGAGAGAGTTGTTAAAACCTCACAATAAAGCAGCATTGTTTTTTTTTTTACTAAACTATGGTGTAATTGGTGGTAACCTGCATTTTTTTTTGCTTATTTCATTTCAAATTAAATCGTTGACTATATTTTCAATTTTGTGGCATTTGCAGATTGCATTCTCTACTCTGGGTCTAGCTAGTCCTATTAAAAAAACACTCTCAGTCTTTTGCAATGAAATATATAATTTCCTTACTCTCTAAACCTCAATTTGTGTTGCTTATGGATATATATGTGCATGCATGATCTGTGTAGTTTTGAGTCATTGCAAAAAAATAAAAATAATTGCTGGCTTAACTGAGACACATTTAATACAATTGATTTTTTATTATTATTTAATACAATTTAATATAATTGATGTTGAGCCAAATCAAAGACATACATATTTGTAATACTATTTGCATGACACTTTCTAGCAACAATGGACAGATGGATTGATAATTTATCTATTGTTCAGTTGTAACAATACTTAGTGAACAGCTATGTGTTTTTGCTGGCACATGTTCACAGGTGATTTTGTAGGTGTTTGCTGTTGTATGTGATTTTCAGTGTGTTGCTGAACCAACATAACTTTTTATCACTCATTTTTTCCCATCTGGTAGTATGTCAAGGAATCTTACTCTCTTGATATCTATTTTCTTATCACTTTATTTAGAAATTTAGTATTATTTACCTTCAATGCATCATCAACAAAGATCTTAACAGAATTGCTATTGAATTATTAAAAACCTTATTCTGTTTTGGAGTTCTATATTTGAGGCATGAGCTACAACTGAACAGTTCTGGGGGAGAGACGTAGTAATGCATGCAACAATCTGCTCATTTAGTAAACTAAGTGGAAATGAGAGGAGGACATTCATATTTATAAGTAGATGACTCATTCATATCAAGTGGTTCACTCATAGAAGGTTTCTTCAAAAATGTGTTTCCTACTTCCACCTAAACACATTTAAAATTATTATAGCTGGATTAGTAATATTGAGGAGGGAGGAAATGAAGTATAAGACAATAATTCATTCATTCATTGTCTTTCTGGAATAAGACATTTGGTAGTATTCTATCTGTTGGAACCATGAGATATTTTATGAAATACATTAATTGAATAGTTGCACAAAGAGAAATGCATTTTCCCTTTGAATTATAAAGTGTGAGTGAGTTGAAATGACACATGAACGTCACTGAATAAATTATGGGCCATATTAATATTTGAAAATATGTATTATGCACTAATAGATGTTTAAAATTAATCTGATGTTCTGTCTCATCTTAGCTATGCTTTTTTTTTAAATCGGTAAATAAGTAACCTAACAATTTATTTTCACATTTTGTCACATTTTGAAGCTAGGATCTTGACACCCTGATCCTAGCACTTTGAATTGGAAGCAGTCTCCTTAGATGTAAATGAAATATTTTTGTAAGTCAATTGACTAAAATCAACAACTTCTTAAAAAATAAATAAAACCCCAAAGTATTTGAAATTCAGAATGTGATTTGCAGTTCTAGAAACAATAAAAAATTCTGGCCACAGTCCAGCACAGAGCTTGGCAGACTGAAATCAACAGGGGAAAAATCCCAGTTGGATAGTGAGTAGAAGATTTACTTTACATTTTATTGGGAGGAAAAGAAGTTAGAGCAGCTGCTTATCAGGAAGAAGCAAATGAAAGCACATTTTCTTAAAGATCTGTATTCTATTTGTGATGTAAATGATAATCGTTGTATTTCAGGTATATTACACAATTATGGGGAAAGGATAGAAGTGTATTTGTTTGTGTAATCCATTATATCCCCTTCAATGTGTTGTACATTATATATAGTTGTGCATGATGTATGTAGCACATAATGCATGTATACCATTGGGATGCTGTCTGCCTTTGTATTACAACTGTCTCCAAGAAATGTAAAACTTGAGGATTTTATTTCCATTAATGTATGTTATTTTTATGTGGGGTTATTCTGGACTATTATACTTGTTCTTGTTGTTATTGAAGCAGTGCATGTTTGCCCTTTTGTTGTTGGAATCTGCTCTGAGTCCCCCAGGGGAGATAAAGCGGAATATAAATAAAATTATTATTATTATTATTATTATTATTATTATTATTATTATTATTATTATTTCACACCAAATGTAAAAAAAATCATATAAGTTTTATTGCTTTCAATGAGTTGAACATTTTTCCTATTACAAAAAAACTAACATAACTATGTACAAATAAAAAAAATCCAAGTTTCCATTCCGCCATCCAAATGGCAAGTAATATTTTTGCCATTGGTCCCAATAGGACAGAGAACGAGGCCTTGGTTCTTTTTTAAAAATATGCAATTCTTACCTATTTCAACATTTTCTGGCCTCCTTGGTCCTGCAGAATGTAATCTTTTTAAACCTCTCTTTTGTATGTATACATTCATTCGGCAGGACCAGGTTCCTCTGCCTTTGACTATTGAAAGCAACATGATACTTCTTTGAACAGTCAGGAAAACTTTTGGTTTCACTCAGCACTGTGGCCAAAATGTTTCCATAAGGTCGCAGCTGGGGCCTTATCTTTACACTGCTGCTTTCTGTAAGAAATGTGTCTTGTGATATGGCAAAATCAGTTATAAACATATGTATCTCAAAACTAAGCAGTACAGATTTTAATTCTAAGCATTTCTGGTATTTCATGTGTTAAGGCTACACATTAAGAACTCATGGCCGTGTTCACTCTGAGTTATTTGCACATATAATACTAGTCTGCTGTGTTTACTTAATTCACATAATAATATGACTTTTTAAAAAGCAGAAATAAAAAATGGGAACACGGGCAAAAGTCTTCAAAAAGAAATACAAATGCATATGCAAAAAATATAGGCAGTGTGTTATGTGAGATGCCCTCTAAGAAAAGCATACTTTCATAAAATCATTTATGGTATGGATAAAAATAGTGAATATTATAGTATTTTATATTTCAGGTTGCTGGGACCAATGACCCATATTTAGAAAACATAGATTTAATTAATACAATTGATTTAAATGGGATTTGGCTTAACTGGATTGTTAAAACTGGGATATTTTTAAAAAGTTCAAGCGTATCTTTATTTTCTTCTTATTGGCCTTGCTATGAAATCAAACTAAACATTTCAAATGTTTAAATGTATAGATTCATGATAGGTATTTAAACATTTATTATTGCAATTCTGGCAAAGAGAATTCATGCAGACTTTCAAAAATGTGTGCGCGATCCTGTTAACTAGAATTGGAATTAAAATGGTAGGCCATAAGATAATAACAATAAGACTCTACAGTATTTTGTCTGTCTTTCCATCAATGTGATTAAAGACGTATTCCCATATGTATGCACACACAGATTTGTAAACTAGGATTTTTTATTGTGATTTGCTGTATGTTCTTAAAATTAATATATTAAAATCATATCTATACGACATTCTGGACAAACCCTGTTGAGAAGCAGGGAAATAATAATTTATTCCAAACCAATGAGTAAAAAGAGAATTCACATTCTAACACTTTAACATCTGGAAAAAAAATAAAATTAAGCTGCATACATTAAGGAAGGAAAGTCCATAGGAACTTTGTCAACTGACATACAAAACTTCAGTTTATATTCACCTATAGATATTGTTCAAATGAGAAAAGTATTGTATGAATTAAAATGATAGAAAATATGATTTAAACAGAAGTTCTGTTTCCATCTGCCAATCCATAACTGAAAACAAAAAAAATTCCATCCTGTATTAGACTTTTTGTGCAGAAAAATAAAACAGTAATATAAGAAAACAATCTATTTGAAAGTTATTCTATGTTAAGGTAATTTCTCTTCTGGTACTCATCAATGCCCAGCTACATTAATTTCAAGCTCCTGGCTTTAACTTACAACAGTTTGAGAGCTATATCCCTTTGGGTTTATCTTTTTCCATCTGATTATCGAGCTCTGTAGAGGTAGATCTCAATAATCATAAGCCTCATATATTTGTGGGAGGGCATGAAATTAATGAAAGGGCTACTGTTTAAAGGCATTTGGTTGGCTTCTGTAGCAAGTGAATACTGGACCAGACTGGTCTTCAGATGGATCCAGCACAGCATTTCTTATGTTTTCTATTAGGGTCCAACTGAGGAATTCCTTCCTTGGGTAACTAACCGAGTTCAGTGGCCTTAATATTCAGAAATTTGAAAATGCACTAAATTGGTATAGCTGTTGTTAACTTGTTATGGATTTGTGTTTTTAGTGTATTATCTATTTTCTGCTAGCATTATTATTATCATAATGTTTACAGTTGGTTAGTAAGCCTGGGTATAATATAAATCGCACAAACACCCTGTAGTTCAAACGTTCCAGTTATGAAGAATTCCCCCAAAATTCAGAATCCCTGCATTAATGTATAGACTGAGTAAACATTGGTTAGCTTAATTTCTTGCTTGTACCAGTGCAATTCAGAATTTCCAAAGAGGACAAACAAATGTCAAATATGAATATTGTAATCTAATATTATGTACTTTTGTTTACAGGATGACGGCTCAGAAATCCTATTTAGTATTTCCAGCTTGGTTCTAGATAATGTTAACTTGAAGGCATGTCTTAGGTTGCAATTCTGGATCCCCTTACCTGGGATAAGTCACACTGACCTTAGTGGGTCTTACTTCTGAGGAGATGGGTTGCGGACTAAAGTGTTCATACTTTTAGTGGATCATGTTTCTAAAGAAAAGTAAAGAAGCTGCTTAGCTTAAGACAACTGAAGTAAGTCCCACTGAGTTGAACTGAAATTGTACCTAAGAAAATAC